CCGAACACCCATAGACACCACACCGGTTAGCCGATATGGTTTCAGGAATCCGGCGCCGGAAGTGGTAGTGGAAGAGAATTGGAATGATGAAGCAGGTTCTAATTCGAATCACTTGATTCAGGTGCCCATGCAGAGAAGTATACCTCCAGGCATGGGTCGTGGTGCGAGACTAAGATGGATTATACAGGAGAGAATGAGATTGCGACAGTGCAGCAGTGAAGAAAGCAGGGTTTCAGAGGGTGGAGGTATTGTTGGCAGCGGAAGCAAGGTTAAGTGAGTGGAGACAATGTTGTGCAATGAAGGTGAACATATAAGTATTATTCCAAAGACCGTATCCTTCAAACGAAACAAAATACAAAGTACATATCATATATGCATGGCAATATGCATATAGAGAAGCTCGAAGAAGTAACGGGGAGATGGCAGATAGATGTAGGTTTCAAAGGCGAGTGCAACTAGTCGAAGAAGTGTTAAAAAAATACTTGACAGTAGATTATAGGCAAACAGTGTTTACAGAAAGGTTCAAAGTGTAAATTATTAAAGTGGAGGTATGTCTGTGATATGTATAAAAGTAGTAAGAAGTAGGTTAGTAAATTTCGAGTATGTAATGTAATGTAAAATAGAGGGGAAGAAGCAACGCTTTGATGTATTTATAAAATAATAAAGATTGTAAGATAGGAATATTGTGTAGTGTTATGTGGGAGGAAGTGGTAAAAAATACATTAAATGAAGAAACATATGTTTATTGACAAAAATTATGACATGATGAAATTTTCATACAAATAAAAAACGTTAGACATCGCACACATGCAAATATCTGTTGTATGGTGAAGGGGTGAGGCGGGGCTGCTCTTCAAGCTCGATTATTGGTTTGCTGGTGAAGTTTCTCAGGTAGGCTGCTTTTTCACTTCCTTTCACATAAATTCTGTCTGCCCCATCCGCAATATGTTTGATAATGTTTCCAAACTTATGTAGGGGTGTAAACCCTGAATTCCAGGAGATACCATGGTAATTATCAGTCAACCACTTCGCCTGAATCTTCAACGGTGGTGGCAGCAGATCCCAAGGAAAAGGAGCTTTGAAAATATAATGACATAACCTAACACCATCATAGGCGCAAAATTCTTTTGCGAGAAATTTATTATTTTCAATTTTAAATCCTTGAACATCCAAAACGACACTCATATTTGTAAGTTGGAGAATTTTGTATATAGAATGCGTCTTTGACAATAGGAATTGAGTGCTTCTTTCAAACTTTGCAATTTCTGATAATACTCTCTGAGAGCTTGTCTGTAGGATGATGTCATAATGAGAATGAAGGAGATTTAGTCTGAACAAAGATATTTATATTGTGATTGGTCATGATTGATTAAGCTCTATCGCTGTTTAACAATTTTGGTTAAAGGGTTGTAGGTGAAAACGCGATCGTGTAGGATGAGACAGTAAGCAGATGTTTCCGGAGGAGCATTTTCACTTGTCTCAAATTCAATTCGCATAACCACCGATCCAGATTGGATACTTTCCTTCTGTTTAGAGCAATCAATATGTGTGATAGGGGCAATAGAAAGGAAATCTTTTGGGGAAAACAGAGGTTCATTTTCACTCTAATAATGGGAGGAGCGGAATTTTGAGTACATTTCATACAAGAGAGCAAATTTTTGGTTTTTAAAATCCAAAAAGAGATCATTATATGGGAAGCGGTCGGAGTTGAGGAAAACCCGAATATTGGTCAACTTGCAATGATCAAATTGTGACATATTGGAGGTAGATACTTGTTTTTTATTAGTTTGAAAGGCTAGGACAACATGTCTAGGGGTCTCGAGCTTCGTTGTAGTTTTGACTGGCCAGGTGTGACGCGTTGTTTCAGGGAGTGATGGATACTCTACTAGTTCCCAACTGCGAAAATATAGTGGAATTTCCATGTTTTAGTTGAGAATTTTTGTAAAAGCTAGTTGCTGAGGAATGTCAACAGATACGTGGGGTACTCTCCACTGAATCTTATCAATCCGAATTTTTGGTTGTTCGGATGTAGTAGTTGCTACAACAGCATCAAGGTCATGACTACTACGGATTAATACTAACTCCTGTTTCATATTGAGGAGAATTTTTCGATAGTCTTCAAAGAACCCCTCCACATGCTTAAAGGAATACAAACATTGAACTTGCCAGACTCAGAAATAAAAGTGTCTTTTGGGAACCAGCCAGCATTTTGCA